ATGAGGTATATAGAGAAGTTTAACCCACCAAACGTGAATACACTCCTCAGTCATAATGGCAAGAACACACAGTTTCCCTTCTATACCAGGAAAACTGTGGAAAAAGTAGTGGCCATGTGTGAATTTTATAAAATGTATATTTAGATGTTTATATCGTAAGACCATCACATATGATCCCAAGTTTTATTATTCAGAGACTTTGTAATCTCTATATATGCTTTTAGAAGGATCTTTTGGGTCTTTCGAAATGGATTGAGGTTTAGGGATGTAGCTCAGTTGTTAAATGTTTTGGGGGGCACAAATGGCAATTTCAGTTCAGTCCTTAGAACCTAACCAGAAGCAGCACATGCACATCAACAATCCCAGTACTGGGAAAGTGGGAACAGGCAGATCTGTAGGCTCACTGCCACTCTGCCTAGCCAGGCCCTAAGCTCCAGCCTCTATGTACATGTGCATATGAGCACATATATGTGCATATGAGCACATACATGGGCATGTATAAATACATAGGCATGTGCACACACATACACAAACATAAAATAGTCTGATACCAGTTAAATTCAGGTTGGTACTGAGAAATGTGTATATGACATTTATATTGTCTATTTTTCTATATATTTGGAAAATGTCATAATAATTGGGCTTTTTTTTATAATTACCCAATTAATACTACAGTCCTAGGATCTGAACCAAATCCAAAGTGCAAGAATTACACATTGAGATATGGACAGAAAAGACCTCTAGTTGCAGTGGTGCATGCCTTTAATCCTAGCACTTTTGAGGCAGGTATACCTCTGTGAGTTTGTGGCCAGCTGGTCTAAACAGCAAGTCCGAGGACATCCAAGGCTATGGAGAGAGACCTTCTCTCAAATATCCAAAAAAGATACAAAGATAAATTTTAGTATCATTTGAGTTTTTTTTTAAAACAAAGTGTCCAATGATGCTAGGAAGCTTCACCAAAAAGTGTATCTTACCTGCCTGCTACAGAGCAGAGCAGAAAATGAGATCCGCATCTTTCTGGTCTAGATCATCACAGAGCCAAGAAGTATTGTGGCCAAAGCAGACTGTAAGGTGGAACGTGGATTTCTCTATTCCGTGTAAGGATGGCCTTGACAAAGGACATGTAATTTTACACTTCTGAAATAGTTAATATTAGTATTTAATTTAGAAAGGGAAGGTGTGTGCTTAAAGCTTTTTACTTTTGTTGTAAGTGTGACTATCTGATAAATTGTGGTTTAGAGCTTTAATCTGATTACAAACTTTTTCTTATAAGCATGGCTAAGTAGAAAATATTGTGTGGGAATTTTAATCTAGTTCTCTCTAGCATGTTGTTACATGAAAAGGACATGCCTAAGAGCACTTTGATGACACTCAGAATACAAGAAGCTCACAGAATTAATTAATCCCTTCCATTTCCATTAATACTGCTCTCGCGACCTTTCCCCTAGTTGCCCTACCAGACAAAGGAAGTCATCTAGGATGTTTCTAGAGAGCCAAGCCTCCAGCCATATTTGTTACATGGTGGGCCCCCAACCCCGACCTGGGTATGGTCCTAAGATTGCATCTATGGACAAATTTGTATCTAAGGAACATCCATTCACGAGACTTTTTTAGGAGGGTTAAACAGAGTTGCTTTTGTATTCTAGAAGGAACTGTGGCTAAAAAGGAAAGATAAAGCAAAGACCATAAGCAAAAGGAAGCATAGACACAAAACAAGACCTGGCAAATGGAACTCAGTTCAGAGTTTTCTTACCATTACATCCGCTTTGCAGAAATACCTCAGAAACAGTAAATTCCTGTGCTGCTTTATATAGCTCGAGGAGCTGCTTTGTTCTGAGGTGCAGTGTTTGAGCATGAGAACCCTTTCCAGTGAGCTTATTGAGCAGGTTCCCTGGCTCCCTCCTCCTTTGCTTTGTGAGATAGCAGAATTGAATTGTCTCTATGTCTGGGTCCTCATCTTGGCCTTGCTGGTTTAGCTGTCCTGAAACTTGCAGTTCTAATTTTATTTGGTTACAGTTCCCCAGAAAATTCCACAAGTTTTAGTGTGAGAGGTTGTTAACAATAAAACAAAAGGACTTTGGTGCCTTTGAATGAAATAGTTCTCCTTTCATAACTATTTAACTTATGCATAGTTTATTATTTTATTAAACATAAAGTGGTATTAGGTGAAACTTGTTTTCATTGAAACTACTCTTTGTTTTGTTTGTTTGTTTGTTTTGTTCCTTCATAGCCCTTTCAAATCACATTCATATTCAACCAGAGAATTTAAAATCTTATTTTACCGTAAGATTTCTCTGTAGTAGGATGTCATCATTTACAGAGGACTAGGAAATACTTCAATTCTGAAAGTATTTCCATTGATTTGAGTATTATTTAATACTCATGTTGACTATACACAAGACTGGACAGTGTACGCATCAGCTATAGTATGCCTTGTTCTTCAGATGGCTGTTATCCTAGGAATGTCCTTTTTAGTTAGTTTATGGCCAGTTGTCTGTTTTTCTCTAATTTGTTTAAGGTTGTTTCTTTTCTCTCTGTCTGTCTCTGTCTTTGTCTGTCTCTCTTTGTTTGTCTCTCTCTGTTTCTGTGTCTCCGTCCGTCTCTCCCTGTCTCTCTCCCTCCCTCCCCCATCCCTCCCCTCACCCCCCCCCCCCCCCACCCATTTCCAGCATCTCACTCTGGGTTCCGCAAGCCTGGCTCTCATGATACCATGTAACTACTCCGTTATTCATTAACTTCGTTTTCCTTTAACTTCTCTTGAACACCTTCTAGCACAAACAAGACAATTAAACCTCACTAAAATTCATGCATCCTAGCCCTAGGGTCATAGGAAAATTCCCGTGGGTTTTGCTGTCCCTCATCACAGTCACAGGATAACGTGTCCCTGGGATCAGGATTATGGCCACCGTGCACCCAGGATGTGATGAGCTCTTTATTACCAGGCAATTTTCTGGCATCAACAGCTTGAGATTTCTTCTTTGTTTATTTTCACCTTTTTCCTTGTCCTCCATTTCTATTAAGGAAATGTGATTTTTCCATTTCTCCTTCCCCTGGCATATTTGTCATCCTTCTTTCTGACAATCATCTGCAACTTCAAAAATGGATTTTTGAGAACCACCTGAAAACATGAAGAGTCAGTCTGTTGGGCCAGAAAGGCTCACTCTCCTCCAAACCACCAAACACAGGAACAACGTGCATGGCCTTCTCAGTCCTTATGACATCCTCCTTTCTGTTCTGTCTGTGCAATGAAAAGTGACTTTTTAAAAGGTCCCCTTCATGTAACCCTTGTTTTCATTCATTGACTCAGAAAATATTCTGTGCTTGCTAAACTCTGGGAATATGCTGGATGTAAGAGGAAGTTCATGTGTTTCTTGTGAAAGACCCTAGGCTTAGTAAGAGAGACAGTAGGGAAGGAGGCACAACAGGCAGTTAAGTAAAAGAAAATGTCCAATTCATGCTTAGTTTATAGAGGAATAAAGAAAAGCTGAAACTTCAAAGGAGGGGGGGGCATTTCAGATAAGAGGAATGAGGGTGGTACCTAGCATGCACTGCCAGGAAGTGCCTAAGGGCTACCCAGCATACACTTCGAGGAAGTGCCTAAGGACTAACCAGCAACAGCTTTGGTGATACAGGTGAAGGATTTGTTTGAGGACGAATGTGGTGATGAGTTTTGTTTTTAAATTTTGATACAATGTTTTTTGTGAAATGAATTTGGGACTGTGAACAAAGCTTTGTGCTTTCATGTAGATTCTCAGTAGTGAATCCACACATTAAAAATAGGAAGAGCCACTGTTACAGTCTTACATGGAACAGAGGATATATACAGTCTTTGATTAGCAACCTGGGGAAATTAGAAACTGTCTTTTGAAGGACTCTAGTTGTAAGGAATTTAAGATTTTAAATTAAACAAAAATAAACACCAAATGAAAGAACTTGGATACTTACTGTGCCCAGATTTTCTGATCCGGCAAGACCATTTTCTGTATCTTGAGTTATATGCAGAGCAATGCTGCAGTCAGGAAATTAGAATAGAGACTCCAGACCTGATGGGTAGTGTCCCCACAGGACAAAGGGGTGAGAGTAAACATGGGTGGATAGTGCTCATCACAGGGACAGTGGGGATAAAGAGGGATGGACAGAAGTATGTAGAAAGCAGGATGTGCAGCTGGAGAGATGGCTCAACAGTTAAGAGTGCTGGCTGCTCTTCTAGAGGTCCTGAGTTCAATTCTAAGCACTCGAGTGGCAGTTTTCAGATTAGCTATATAACTCCAGTCCTGGGGGATTTAACACCTTCTTCTAGACTCTAAGGGTGCCAGACACACGTATGGTACATAAATATTCTTGCAGACAAAACACTCATAAACATAAAATAAACATTAAAAAAGGGATTTTTTTTAAAGCAGAATTTTAGTGTTAGTCCGTGCTTGCCTCTTTGGCACTGCCTCTGAACACATCTGTGCAGGAGGCCGTCTTGACTCCTCTCTTCTCACTCTGGCAGAAGTGAGCATCCTGTCCTGCACTCTGCAGTTGTGTACTTACCTCTCCTATATAGGAAAGTCTCTTAGAGTCTGCTCTTGGGTGTTGATCCCCTATAGTAAGCAACTAACAGGAAAGTACATGTGGTGTCTTACAAACTGTCATGAATGTTGCTCCTATAACATCCAGACTGTCCTAAGAGCTTTGAATATTTATTCATTTAATCTCAGAGTAACCTTATACACTGTTACCATGGTCCCCATTTTGGGCTGAGTCGCTGGGACCTTGAACTACTTACTTATTGGCATTCAAATCTAGGGAGTCTGTTCTGGAACAGATGCTCATAATCCATATACAGAGCACCTTAACCCAAGAGCCTCGTTTCTCATTTTTCAGATACAGTCAGTCTAATGAGTGGTAAATTTAAAGTAATATATAAAAGTTCTAATCATCTAAGATTGAATATGTCCTTTTAAAAAATTGGCATTGCTAATAAATTTTCTCATTTTTAAAAATTCTTTTAGAGCCAGTCCGAAGATACAAAACCTACCACAGCGATATCTTTAGTACTTCCAGTGAAAGCCCATCTATTATTTCCTCAGAATCAGACTTCAGACAAGGTAAGAGTCGTCTGATGTGAGCAAAGTATCCTTTTTAAGAAGCAACTATTATTGTTTTTTAATTTTTTTAATGCTGTAGAATATTTGATTACACTGTGAACCCTGAGATTGTGTTACTTACTAGAAAAACCTGGTTTTGAGTTGTGGTGCTGCTCAGCCTTAGTACACACCTTTAATCCAAGAGTTTTCTGCTTGAATATTGTAATCAGGATTAAATAAAGTCAGCCATAGGTCAAGAGACAGAGCATGCAACCAGTTGACAGGAAGTAAATGTAGGATTGCTAAGAAAAAAACGTAGAGTAAGGGAGTCGGGGGATAGAGCCGCATGGGAAGGACAGGGGAGAGACATTCAGTTTGGAGGAAGTTTTGTTGCTGTTTTTGGTTTCTGGGTTTTTGTTTGTTTGGTTGGTTTTGTTTTGTTTTGTGTGAGAGATGGACATTCTTGCTGGAATGTCAGCTGAGAAGGAAGGCCATCTGGGTGCTTTTTCTGACTCTCTGAGCTAGCAGGCTTTTACCCCAACATCTGGCTCCTGAGTCTTCATTGGTAAAATCAATGATTGAGACTGTATTAAAAAAAAAACACAACTTAAACAAAAGTTGTCGAAATGTTATGATTGTAAAATGTTTCCTTTTAAAAGTATTATGTCAAATAATAAAAGTTTTATAAAACAGTGATAACATTTCATCTTACAGGAAGGAAGTCACTGTCCTTAAAACTTACCATGACTAACCTGGCATGGTGACACACAGCTTTAATCCTAGTACTGGGGAGGCAGAGGCAGGCAGATCTCAGAGTTCAAGGTCAGCCTGGTCTACATATCAAGTTTCAGGACAGCTACACAGAGAAACCCTGCCTCAAAAAGAAACAAAACAAACAGCAACAACAAAAACTAACATGACCCAACCTCAAGACTTGTATACCCTGTCAGTAATTTGTGTACATGATTGTGAGTTGTACAAGTTACCTTGTTCGCTAAGTGCCTGAGTTTTAGATGAGATTGCTTTTATGTGTTTATCACTTCTACCATTATTATATTTTTATTCACAATTAGTGAGAAAAAGTGAAGCTTCCAAGAGGTTTGAATCCAGCAGTGGTCTTCCGGGAGTAGATGAAACTGGCCAATCACGACCAAGGTATGGCTTTGGAAAGTACTAATTACTAGTCACAGGTGGTTGGTTTTGGTTTTGTTTGGTTCTTCCTTGTTTGGTTTGGTTCTCATTAATTACAGTTGGCACATGATGTCTTAAATTGTCAGTACAAATAGACATAACAATCCAGGTTAAGGCATGGAGCTAAAAATCTGTGAAAACAGTAAACCTTTGATTCTAAAATGTAAGTAAGTGATCTGTGCCTTGAAAGACTGGGGTAGGCTCCGGTATTCAGTGTGAAGTGGTTGAATGAATAGTCAGATTACCACTATGTGAGCTATTAAGTGAGAGGTTAATTATTGACACACTGGTTGGTTTACAGAGGTTCTCTGGCATATTTCTAACTCCTGTTGTGGGGCTGTGCAGTGTTCAGCTCCTTACTAGAGTACTTGGCAAGTTTCTTATCAGACGGTAGTGTCTGTGTGTGCTAGAGCTGGGGTAGTTGTGTTACAGTTTGGTAAACTTTGCTTTGTTTAAACTGAAAGAAAAGAACTCTCAGGCTGGAGAGATGGCTCAGTGATTAAGAGCACTGACTGCTCTTCCAGAGGTCCTGAATTCAATTCCCAGCAACCACATGGTGGCTCACAACCATCTTTGTAATGGGATCCAATGCCCTGTTCTGGTGTGTCTGAAGACAGCTACAGAGTACTCATATACATAAAATAAATAAACATTTTTTTTTTTAAAAAGAACTCTCAGACAAGTGGTAGGTGTATTGATGTATATCACAGTCACATGTATATCGATGCCTTGCCTGAACACAGAGTGCTGATTTCAAATTTGTAAAATGACACTTGAGATCCAAAATTGGCTTAAAAGTGTATTTCCAAAGCATGAGAACTCTAAACTCATTGTTTACTGCAGATGCTTCTGATTATAGGAGAAGCATCTGGAAAATTTCAAATATTTGTCCCTTAGCTAATGAATATGCCAGACAACGTTCATACCTGTAAACTATTGATAGATCATGTAATCCTAGCTGTCTGGTTAAAGCAGTCATTCATGGCTGTGGTTCAGACACTGAAGCTCATGTACTAAAAGTTACTACTTAATGGCCTACAGTTTTTCTTTCACTTCTTTTAAATATTTGTAATATTTTTTTTGTAGAAAATAATTTTCTACTCACATAATGCCATTTTAATTACTACTTTGTTATGATGAACTTTTTATTATTATCATTTTAAAGCAAGTGGGAGGCAAAGATATTTCTATACTCAACATTACATGCTTTCTTGATGAAGCCACGACATTGGGATGAGCAGTAAGAAACCAGTGTTACATTACACTTAGTGCTGAATTGAGGGAGAATTTTTTTTTTTTTTAGAATTTCCTCCTCCATATGTCTGATTTAGAAAAACAAAATCACCCCTTTTTAGCTTCAGTAAAAGAAGGAATAGAGATAACAACTAGAAAAAACATTGAGATTGTAAATTAACTCACATTTCAGCCTGTTATTTAAGGATACATTACTTCAAAACATTTAAGTCACCTTGGAAACTGTCTGTTTTCTCAATAAAGAATCTGAAACCCATGAGTCATGAGAGATTTAATTTTGATGCTCTGAGTTTTATGTAAGGAAATGTGAACATTAGGGCTACCTTAATTTGCCAACCCATGTTTTAAGGGTAAACCTTGTTTGGGGGCAGAGGTCTATCTGTTGCTCGCAGCAACTAAATTAGATATAAATATGGAGGAGATAAGTCTGGGACAAGGTAATTCTACTGTGTGCATGTGTTGTCGCACGGAAACTGCTGACTCTCCCTCCTGCCCACAAAGTACTCGCTGACTAAAGTATTTTCAAAGCTCCTAAAGGGGCAGGCTTTCCTGGGTGTGGACCAAGGTTTCTGATGGCACCCTCACTCTGTCAGCACACGGCCAGGAGCCCCTGATTCGTTCTATGGGTAGCTCTGTATTTTTACATGTTGCATGCATACTTACTTATGAGAAAATTTCCATTGCCTTCAACCAGAGTGAAATGGTGAAACAGAGCCAGAGTGAAATGGTGAAACAGAGCCAG